GTTTCCAGAGAGTCAAATCAAGGCATAACTAATTTTTCTGATCCCTTTCAACTTCTTTGCCCTTTGATCATACAATGCCACATTATAAAATGGGAGGAAGTTTATGCAATATGAGCTTCAGTAATAAATGCAGTGATTGTGATGATCGCACCAAGCAAGAAAGCCTATTTGACCAAATGACAAGAGTCATCTGCGTATAGCATGGCTCGGCTGTTGCTGTACTGGTGACGGACGCAAAAGACGTTAGATTTGGGTGCGAGATAAGATAAACTTTTCAATACCTGACCCAAGGAGCGAGAAATAGAAATTTTGCAGGCAATACCATATATTATGTCCTATATCTTATAAAATCGCACGAACACCAAGTGGCCAAGGTGACACGGCTCTCACCAGCCCCCTTTTGGTTCTTCACTGGCCATAAGTTTTACCTCTTTGGCAACATCAGTGGAATTGAGGACCACCATAGTATGAGCACCAGTTTTGATAGAATAAATAGGGCCATAAGTTTCAGCCCACTTTGTAAAGGTCATGTGAGGTTTCTTCTCCTTCAATTGAAGCAAATTCCCCACTATGGGCAACCCAGGAACCTCTGCATCAAATTCAAGTCCCCCCAGAAAGAAACAGAAAACACAAAATTGTCATTACAAGACACAAAAGGAACTCACTTTTTCCAATTTCATGCTCACCAGAAGCAAACATTACCTGGTAAAGATGGAAGAGCAAGCTGGCCATTCATCTTCTGGGTAGAGCCGGATTTCCTCAAGAAGACAGAGAACAGCAATAACAGTATAAGCCTACCAGGAATGGCCGCAGTAACAAAAAGGCTAGAGCAGTTCTTGCAAATCTTGGAGCATGGACACAACCGTTCAGACGAAACTCCAAAGTGAAGAGTCAGTGATTCTTGAATTGAATGAAACGAAAAGAGATCGACGAATAAAACAGACAGCATGGGGCTAATTTTATAGCAGGCACTGCTCCTAGGACAGATGGGTCGGAGCAATTAAAAAACACAAGAATCAGAGTGAACTAAAGGAAGAGATTGGAGGCTCTTTCTCCTTTATTGATTTCTGCAATTTATTAATTGAAGCATGCAAGACGTGCACCCTTCGCAAGGTGGGTGAGGGAATATACGGTTCCGGAGATGGTGACCCATCCGAGTGATCGGGGTTTAGTCGTTTCCTTCAGCTGTTGGACTCGGAAAATCTCATAAAAATTGTGCCTTTTCTGTCTTCTTAAAAAGTAGAGAAAGATGTCTGCTTGTGAGAATTATCAGGAGACAGAGCAGGGGGTGACAGAGTTCAGGGGAAGTGATTTGCTTTCGGGGCATCTCTTTGTTTCAGATTCTGTTGCCTTTGGGGGGCAAAAGGACACGTGCCTCAATCATCATCCCCACTTGGAAAATCATCTTTAACAAAAGCAGGGTGGTAAAAACATAAAAGTGGAAATATTTTAATAGGGCTAAACACAAAAGATTGCTTACTTCAATTTTGGGATAAATTTGGCCGAGCCTTCGAACTATCTAAAGCTTGAGTGGCTTTATTAAGGGACTAAAAGGAGCACCGTACGAGAAAAAATTGTCATCTTAAAATCTCCATCCAAACAAGCCTACGCCACAGTTGATGGGGCAAATATGAAGACATGCATGATGCACAAGTGAAGCCGTTTCTCTTCTCCTGCACAAAAGAACGTCGTCCGATCATGGAAAATGGGCTCATCCATGTTTGGGCTCATTTCTCCCCAAATCAAAGGAGAGTGAGAAGAGATTCGATAGGAAATTAAAGAGAAATGAGCAAAAAGTTGATCCATTAGCATTTCGCTTATCACGTGGAGTTCAATTAGATTTTAAAGGGGTTTCAAATTTAACAAGGGTTTCGAATCTAGAAAAGGGTCGAACCCCTTTCCCTATATGTAGCTGTTTGGTATGCCTCTTTCCCTCGGCAATCTCCACATTCTTTTCTTCCAAAACAAGAAGCTTCAATTATCATTCAAACTATAATTGAAATTTCATCTGGTAGTCCTTATTAGCACTTATTATTACCCCGTCATCTCCTTTGAAATTTTCACCATAAAAATGTTCATGTTTGTACGAGTGAATGGCCAGACCAATGACACGGTGCTTGTGTTTCTTTAACATCATCTGGCACGCGCATGCTATGGAAACAACAAAATATTCTGTCCATGCAAGAACGCTGATGCCACTTCGTATGCCTCCTGTCCTATTAGGCTATCACGTAAAATATTTGATTTTTCAATCTACTCATCCCAATAGGATATACACGCATCTTTAATGAGTAATATCATATCATATTTTGCCAAGGACTTGTTATTATCATCACACACATGAAATAATTTCTACTCCCATTTTCTTTTCTGATTGGATCAAATTTCGCTCAGACACTTTAAAATAAGTTGGATCATACTTCACTAAAAAACATAATCCAATTTAGTTATGGATCGACTTTCTACTAACACCAAATGTATTTAATGCTCTATTCAGTCCATCCCCACGATATAAATTATGTGAAACTTCATATCACTAACATCCTCACACGTGCACCTTAGCACAACTCAAGTAATCATAATAATCGTAGTAGATGAATGAATAGCGCAAAAGCAGAACCATTACTTTTTTGGTGCTAAGCTATTATTTTGGAAGAGAACTTTAGGCGCAATTGACAAATGGGCCGAGCTTTTTTCACTTTTTTTTTTGGCTAAAACACTCCTTAACACAATAACCTGACTATATTGTCCTTTGTGGATCCCACTTTTTAGTATCTTCTTTCACCAATGTTATAAGAAAGTATTGTTCCATTTTTTCTCGTTGTGTCATTTTTTTATATTAATTTTCTATCTCTTTTATTGTGGGTCCTACACTCACTTTCCTTGTCTTTTTCATTCTATTCGTTCTCTCTCATGTAACCACCCAAAGCAATAGAGAGGTAGAGAAAATGGAGACTTCCATGCTTATGTAGGCGGAGGAAGCTGAGCTGGTCTTCATGACCAATGATAGCACCTTCTCGAGCCCGCTTGAGTGAAGGCTTTGTGCCACGTCTTATGGCAATAAGGGGATTGTATTCGCATATAGTGGCGCATATTGGCGAGGCATGATGAGGTTTTGCACTTTATATTTGATGAGCCTGGCGAAGGTGGAATAGTTTGCACCGATGAGGAGGAGGAGCTAGGAAAAGTGATGGGGAGGCTGAGGGCGGCGGCCTTAAGGCATACTCTCTGCAATCTGAAACATTTCATTGAATAGCCCTTCTCTACACAAAGAATCAATGAGATTTGCAAAAAGCAGCAGTGCTCACCAGCAAATCCTCTTTGCATTTCATTACCTCCCAAAACCTGAGAATCAATTTCCTCGTCTTCTCCCCATCTAGCTATCGAACAAATCCATCGACCAATGTGCTAAATTTCCTCGCAAAAAGAGTGAATTACGCTGAGGTTGAGTGAGTCGGATTGCTAGTCGTGAGACAAAGGTGATCAAGGAGGAGGGCTTCATCAACGTCCTGGTGGCAGGTTGATGTGGCCCTGACTAGGATATGCGAGCACAAGAACATGAGGATTTTAATTCTCCATTTATCTGTCTCTTGAGAGAGAATAGAGAAAAGGAAAAATATTAAGGAATGTGGATGTGGGACCCACAAGAAAAGAAATAAAAAATCAATAAAAAAAGAACACGACAAGAAAAAAGGGGAACACTTTCTTATAATAGTGACCGGGGATGCTAAAAAGTACGATCTACAAAGGGCAATATTGTCAAAACATTATATTGAGGAGTCTCTTAGCTAAAGAGGGAGTAAAAAAAGCATGGTCCTTGACAAATCCATCCAAATGTCGGAGTTGGTAATTAAAGGATTTGAAGAACCCTTGAATCACCCCCATATTGAGGTGTGAAATTTCTGTTGCGCACTCTAAGAAAAGGTATTGGAGTCCATAGTTGATTGACGGGAGGAGCAATTAATGTAGTACATGTTCGAATTGATTTTTAGTTTTTAGTTTTTGCTTAATTTAAATTTTATTACTCATGCAATTTGACTTTTTTTTTTACGAAAACCACCAAAAACTCTTACCAAGTATAAATTGTGGCACATAGCTTACCATATAATCCTTTTATAATATATTTTGAAATCCGAATATCTAGTAGGGAAGTTTTTTTTTTGGTCAAAATCTAGTGGAGAAGGATTTTTTTTTTGTTCGCCCTACTATAACTCTCAACTCATTTTCAGACTTTTGCTCTACCTTTTGTAGGGTGTGGAAGTCGAAAACCACATCCGAAATTACACGTTCCCACCCCTAACCCCCTCTGAGAAGGTGGGATTCGAACTCCCCACCTCCCCCTTTCCAAATAGGAAGGGTAGCCACCGGGGCAAACCCCAGTGGTTAAATCTAGCAGGGAAGTTAGGAAGTTGCTTTTTGGCTTTTGATTAAGCAAAATAAAAACAAACAGGCCCACAATAGTTGTCTCGACTTAAGCAATTCAGGGAATTAGGGTCCGCATAGATATATTGAGAGACGTGGACTTTGACTTGAGCTCCCTCCTAGTGATCCCCGTTGATAAGGTATGGAAATTCTGGCGTGTGTTCTAACTGATTGAAAACACATCTTGAGACCAAAAGTTAAATAAGTCCTCTGTTCACACATCTTTAGGCGCACATATGTTCCTTGCAACCTGTCATGCGACATATCCTTTGGATCTTACTAAGTTAAAGCAACTTTGATTATCCTTAAGCACCACCCACCAATTAATGAAGAAGGTAACACAGTCTCACTCTGTAACAAAGAGGAGATCAATCTAACAATTCATGAGGAGAAGATCCTGATCATAGCAGGACACTTGAAAAGTCGCAGCTTCAGCTTCTTTCGTCAGAAGTTATTCTAAAACGAGCAAGCCAACGTTTGCATCGGAAGGAGTTCACCTTCTTCTTACATAGATTTTGCACTTTTTCTGAGACATGTTTCATTGACTCCTCACACATCATTTAGAGACTCCACATGTATTAGAAGCCAAAGAGGATGCAGCAAAAACATTGCCCAGGATTAAGATCAACTTCAGTCTCTACTATGATTTCTTCCACTTCGAACCAGTCACCTCTCAGCTTTAGCATTGCTTGCATCGGGTGGAGCTTATGCGTAGTTAGGCCATCCATATCGACATTCTCTCGCTCATCATCTCTAACTCGCCATTCGAATTCCTGCACTAATCTGCCAATTGCTGTGCAATATACCAACATGACCTGGCATGCTCCGGCACATGCCCTCTTCCCTGCCCTGAATGACATTGTCTTGTACAAGTCCGCAAGGTCGTACCTCTCATCAAGAAATCTCTCGGGCGTCCAATTTTCAGGATCCTCCCAATGTTGTTTGTCCATGTTACACCCGTAAATGTTTATGGCAATCTACAGAAACCACAAACATGGCTTGGAATGTAACATTATATTTCAGTTCAAGACAATGTAAGGATGAGGAAAGAAAAATGCATTTAAGTACTACTGATTTAACCCGGCTTCCAGCTGGAACAAAATAACCTCCTAATTGGGTATCTTCATGCACATAGCGCAAAGGGACTACAGGCACGGGACTATACTTCCTCAGGGTTTCATGGAATACAGCCGCAAGATACGGAAGCTGCGACAAGTGGTCCTCCGTGACTCTTTCTGAGCCACACACTTCTTCAATCTCCTCATAGAGCTGATTCTGTATCGGAAATCAAAGTTGTTTAATAATGGCTACAAATCTAGGGGTCTAATATATGATCAAAGGGGCTAATTAGATATGAACCTGCCGCTTTGCGTCTTTAGCGAGCTCGTACAGGGCCCACTCTGTTAGAACTGTAGTGCTATCCGTGGTCTCGATGATCGCCTCCCAAAGCAAAATGGCGATTTGTTCCTCGGTCAGTGTCGTCCCTTCAGATATCAAGAAATCTATATAAGCATCCGATTCCTGCTTCAGACAACGATATGAGTTGAGAAACAACTATAAGTGGTTCTTGAAAGACGATGTTGCTGCATCACTAGGAAAATGCTAGTACCTCTCCTGAAGCAATCTGCTGTTTTTGCTCCCTGATCATGGCCTTCGTTACTATGTTCCTGCAGAGCGACACTGCCCGGATCTTCTTTTCCCATTGCTTATTCGGTATCCATCTCAAATAAGGAAAGAAATCCCTCCAATCCACTTCTATTGCGCCTGCAATTATGTCCGTCACCAAGGCCTTGTATATTTCCTCCTTGGACAACGTGGCTTCGAGTTCGTCTACGTAGATGGATTTCACTTCTCTTCCCAGAACCTGTAGTGGAATCGATAATTTTTCACTGCTCGTAGCCTGGTCCAGTTTTGTTCATGCATTACTTGGGATAAGTTGGAGGTAGTTGACTTCTTTGAGTGCTAACACGAAGTTCTGATTCTCGAAGACTTTCCTGAAATTGACAGCTTCAAGGGGGTTGCTGTTCACACGAGCATGTAGTTCTATGGAGAGATTTTTTATCATGGTGTCCTGATGGCGACGCAGTCTTTTCTGCGCAGAAGATAGTTTAGGAGTTAGTTCAACTGACTGCTCACACTCCTTATTTTTGCCAGGTCCAACAACTATGATATAATTGAACTTCACATTTGAGTTCATAGTGATCCCTTTTCTTTGTGAAACTATCCAGTCTTCCTCCTATTATTCTTTCTCAAATCATTTGTTGCTCATTGATCTAAAAAACTATTTCCAAGTTCTCTTCGTTTGCTATTGCTGGTTGGGGATTAAGATGCAGAAATCTTGCTTTAAAGTTATAAATACATGAACGCTACACTTGCATAAACATGTGCAAGTGCACATACACAGTATCTTTCAATTAGTGTACCTGCGCATTTGCACCCAGAACACCCGCAAGAATGTATCGCTTAGCAATTTTGTAGAACTCATTGCAGTCGCTTGTGGCCACCATACATCTATTGGCCGTGAGAATCTGCAGAGCACTCGATAGATTTCTCGTAGAGATTGATGAATATCTAGTGACCATGGCCTGAAACAAACAAGAAACTGCATTTTTCACCTTTTTTTCACTAGACTGTGTCTCTCTCCTACTGTCAGAACACTATGAAAGCTACTTAGGGGAGATGCCCCATTCATCTTTCGATCAGAATGGCTTTGGTACATAATGTCGCCTTTGAACCCAGATTTTATAGCTGTATACTAACAAGAAACCAAATTTTCAAGAGACGAATGATAAGCTTAGAAAGATTCCTACTACTAATTTTGCTACCAGTTTGCGATGTGTATTAGTTTTGCTGGGCTAGGTAAAATGAATCAGAGCCTCGTTTGTTCAGACAGAAAGAATTTGCAAAATTGCTATTGCAGTTATCTGTAGGGTTCCTCAAGTGCTAAAAACGCAGCGGAATTTATAAACCGAAACCCTAGACAGGATCCATGCGTATATTGAAATCTAAACAGAAGTTCGACACATACCTTTTGTAGATCGAAGGTAAATTGACAATCGATTGTGTCTGGATTAGCGCCCCAAGTGTTGCGCTTTTACCGGTATCCACACACACGAACGGAAGTCTCCAACGATCCTAGTGCTAGCTAAAGATCTTGGACTTCTTTTTCCTGATCGCCTTTGATCTTCGAGACTCTCTCAAAGATCTCTGAACAGAGAACGATTCTCTTCGTATTCTCTTGGAGGCGTTTTTTTTTCTCTCTTAGGGTTTTTCGTCACCCACACGCTATATATATATATATATATATATATATATATATATATATATATATATATATATATAGCCTCATTATCTATGCGAATTAAAAGAAGTGGGGCTGGGCGATTTGGGCTCGCCAAACTGTCCACCTTCAATCATACGTTTAATCGTTATCTCATAACGTGCACGACCGCGTAGATAAGTTAAATAGGAGAATAAATTAAAATCTATTTCTTATTTTAAGTAGATCCCGGCGCACGGAAAATATTAACTCAGTTCGCTATTGTGTGCGACTCTGTAGGTTCGCTAAACATTAGCAGTGTGCTCAAAACCCTTTTTGGCCCACAAGTCATAAGCGGTCTCTAGCAAGACATTATGACTACCTAAGTATAGTGAAAGTTGGTTTTCTGACACAACCTAATCCACAACTAATATTAGAGTATCAACCTTGATTGATTCCTAGGGTAGACCACTAACAATCTCCCACTTGCACTAGAACCAATCATATAAACTAAGTCCCTTTGTCACTTAATTTCCGAGTTAAGCAAAAGGTAGGACAAGTGTCATCCTTATATAGCTCAAACTCATTTTCCCGATACCGCAGCTAGACTATCAAAGCAAGTAGTTGACTCTTCAACTCACTTGAGCATGGCCATGCATTTCACAATCTCAACTCTACGGGAGGCCAGGATATCATACCCTCGTTATATGAGAGGGACAAATCCCATCTTGTCTACTCACATCACTTAGCACGATTCATGACATGCCCAGCCATTACCTTTAAAATCACCTGTTACGGCTTACGTTTGGTAATGTTAAAGCATGCTAATCCACGTCTAGGAAACCATGGCAGACTCAGGTCAAAGGACTATACTCTGTAGCTGTGATGAGAAACACTGATGACATTATATAACAATCCTACAATATTCTCATGGCGGGTCTGTCCAGTATAATGTTCTCCAACATGTATTCCATGTGATCAACTCTTTATATCTCTATATTCATGACCCGTGAAACTTGGTCATCAGTTAACTCACATGCTAGTCTCAAACACCATTGGCGTCCCAATGCATAATGGCAATTGACTAGGGACATTTAGAATATTAATATCCACTCTATTAATAGAGTTTCACGATCAAATCACGTATTTGATTATCTATTAAGGATATTCAATATTTAGGGGATAAAGATTTCGCATTCAATTATATACTCAAATTAAATCGAAATCAAATATAATATATATTTTATTAATGAACAATGAAAATGTATATCACATATACTCCCACTCACATCAAGACCAATCACTAATGTGTCTAAGGCCTAAAGCGTTACAATGACGCTCATGCTTAGGTTGTGGAAGAGCCTTCGTCAACGAATTAGCTGTATTCAACTCCGTTGCAACTTTGCACACCTTGACATCACCTCTTTCAATGAATTCTCGAATGAGATGATACTTCCTAAGTATGTGTTTGGTCTTCTGGTGAGACCTAGGCTCTTTAGCCAAAGCTATGGTCCCATTGCTGTCACAATAGAGGTCCGCTGGATTCGAACTAGTGGGACTGATTCCCAGTTCTTCTATGAACTTTTGAATCCAAACAGCTTCCTTTGATGCTTCTGAAGCAGCAATATACTTAGCTTCTGTCGTAGAATCTACAATAGTGTCCTGCTTGGAACTCTTCCAGCACACTACTCCACCATTCACGCAAAAGACAAAACCTAACTGCGATCGAAGGTCTTCTTTCTCGGTTTGGAAACTAGCATCAGTGTAACCACTTAAAGTGATATATTCCTCACTTCCATAGACTAAGAATAAATCCTTAGTTCTTCTCAAGTACTTAAGGATATTTTTTATAGCAATCCAGTGAGGTTCCCCTGGATCTGACTGGTGTCTACTTGTCATGCTCAATGCATAAGCAACATCAGGACGAGTGCATAACATAGCATACATGATGGATCCCACAGCTGATGCATAAGAAATCCTACTCATGCGGTCTCGCTCATCTTGTGTTGAAGAATACTGAATCTTGCTAAGACTTATGCCATGTGTCATCGGGAGAAAACCTTTCTTGGAGTCTTGCATATTAAACCTATTGATGACTTTGTCAACATATGTACTTTGACTCAGTCCAATAAGTCTCTTAGATCTATCTCTATAGATCCTGATCCGCAAGATATAGTTTGCCTCTCCCATGTCCTTCATGGAGAAAATTTTTCCTAGCGATGTCTTAACTGACTGAAGCATAGGAATGTCGTTTCCAATGAGTAGTATGTCATCCACATACAACACTAGAAACACAATTGCACTCTCACTAGACTTCTTGTATACACAAGCTTCTTCTTTATTTCTGATGAAGCCAAACTCTTTGACAGTTTCATCGAAACGAATATTCTAGCTCCGTGATGCCTGCTTCAATCCATAAATAGAACGTTGAAGCTTGCATATCTTCCTAGTGTTATCTGGTGATGTAAAGCCTTCAGGTTGTGTCATATACACATCCTCCTCTAGTTTTCCGTTAAGGAAAGCTGTCTTTACATCCATTTGCCATATCTCATAATCATAATATGCATCAAACGCTGGGACAATCCGAATGGACTTAAGCATAGCCACTTGCGAAAAGGTCTCGTCATAGTCAATCCCATGAGTTTGTTTGAAACCTTTAGCTACTAGCCGTGCTTTATAGATGTGAACCTTTCCATCCATATCGGTTTTCTTCTTGAAAATCCACTTGCACCCTATAGGTTTGACACCTTCGGGTGGATCAATCAAAGTCCAAACTTTGTTTTGATACATTGAGTCCATTTCGGATTTCATGGCCTGAAGCCATTTATCGGAGTCTAGGCCCATCATAGCTTCTATATAGGTCGTAGGTTCGTCATTTTCTATTAACAATAGATGACGATGTTCTGTCACAAGAAAACCATATCTCATAGGCTCACGATGTGTTCTTTCAGACCTACGAACTATAGGTGCCACTGAAGTAGACTCTACAACTCTTTGTAGATCTAATTGAGGTTCCTCATGAACTGGAATGCCCTCTTATGGCACAATAACTTCTTCGAGGTTTACCTTACTCCCATTGGTTCATTTAGTAAGAAACTCTTTCTCTAAAAAGACACCATTTCGAGTAACAAACACTTTGTTCTCTGATGGATTGTAAAAGTAATATCCTTTCGTTTCTTTAGGATATCCCACAAAGAAGCATTTATCAGATTTGGGTCCAAGCTTATCAGAAAGTAAACGTTTTACATAAGCTTCGCAACCCCAAATCTTTAGAAAAGACATACTAGGAACTTTTCCTGTCCATATTTCATATGGTGTCTTCTCTACAGCTTTTGATGGACTTCTATTTAGTGTAAAAGCAGCTGTCTCGAGTGCATATCCCCAGAAAGATAATGGAAGATCTGAATGACTCATCATTGATCGAACCATGTCTAACAAAGTTTGATTTCTCCTCTTAGAGACACCATTCCACTGTGGTGTTCCAGGGGGAGAGAGCTGCGAAACAATTCCACACTCTTTGAGATGGTCATTGAACTCTTGGCTTAAATATTCTCCTCCTCGATCAGATCGAAGAGCGTTGATACTCTTGCCAAGTTGATTCTATACTTCATTCTGAAATTCCTTGAACTTTTCAAAGGAGCCGGATTTATGTTTCATCAAGTAAACATATCTATATATACTGAAATCATCAGTAAATGTAATGAAGTACTGATAACCTCCTCTAGCTGTAGAACTTAGTGGTCCACACACATAAGTATGTATAAAGGCCAATAATTCTTTTGTCCTCTCACTTTGATTAGTAAAAGGAGCTTTTGTCATTTTTCCAACTAAACAAGATTCACACGTATCAAATGATTCAAAATCAAATGAATTTAATAGTCCATCGCTATGAAGCTTGTGAATTCGTTTTTCGTTTATGTGGCCTAATCGACAATGCCATAGGTAGGTTGGATTCAAATCATTAGATTTAAACCTTTTTGTATTTATATTACAGATTGGCACATCAAGATTTAGAACATATATCCCATCCACAATATGGGCACTACCACAAAACAATCCATTAATATAAAATGAACAACTATTGTTCTTTATATCAAAACAGAAACCTTCCTTGTCCAAACAAGAAACAAAAATAATATTCCTACGTATGGCAGGTACATAGTAGCAATTATTCAGTTCTAAAATCATGCCAGAAGGTAAAGCTACATCATATGTTCCTACGGCAAATGCAGCAACTCTTGCTTCATTTCCAACACGTAGTTCCACTTCACCTTTTGTAAGTGTTCTACTTCGTTTTAGTCCCTACACATTCATACAAATGTGAGTACCACAACCGGTATCCAATACCCATGAAGTAGAACTAGTAGTAACATTTACTTCTATAACATAAATACCTGAATCAGAAGTCTCACTTCCCTTTTTCTTCAGATCCTCCAAATATTTCTTGCAATTCCTCTTCCAATGTCCATTCTTGCCACAATGGAAGCATATAGCATTAGCAGTCGGACCCGGTTTGGTCTTGGATTTGGGTTTGGGCTTAGTGCCCTTGCCCTTACCCTTGACCTTACCTGGCTTCTTAAAGCCTTTCCCCTTTTGAACCATGAGAACATTAGGCATAGGGTCCTTCTTGATATTCTGCTCAGCAGTTTTGAGCATCCCATGCAGTTCAGTCAAAGACTTATTTAGATTATGCATGTTATAGTTCATAACAAACGTGTCATAATCATGAGGCAATGACTGAAGAATAATGTCAGTAGCCAACTCTTGGCTAATGGGAGAGCCCAACCGCTCCAGGTTTTCAATATAACCTATCATCTTTATGACATGCGGGCTAACTGAGCTCCCACTTGCTAGCTTGCACTCAATTAAAGTCTTTACCGTCTGGTACCTTTTAGTGCGTGCCTGCTCCTGAAACAAATTTTTCAGGTTCATGATCATATCATAGGCATCTACATTCTCAAACTGCTTCTGAAGGTCTGAGTTCATGGTAGCTAACATTAAACATGATGCATCTGATGCATCATCTTTATGCTTCTGATAAGCATTCCTTTTTAGCATGGGGAGCGTTGGAAGGAGGTGCCTTCTGGGGAAGTGGTTTCTCCATGACATAATCCTTTTTCTCCTGTTTGATAACAATTCTCAAGCTTCTATACCAGTCCAAGAAGTTTGAACTATTCAATTTGTCCTTCTCAAGGACAGATCACAGTGAAAAGTTTGATGCAGAGCTATTTGCCATTATCTACAACAAATATGCAAAGTGAATTGTTCATTAATATTATTTATAATAAACTCCCACTATACTTTTATAATATGTGTCCCAATAAGTATAGTAGACCAAGATCCATATTTTATCAAGACTCGAGTAAACTTTGGCTTACAGCTCAAGACTAAGTTATTTAGGTAGACAACTCTTTGTCAATTGTATTGAATACAACTCTTGGTTGTTGGGGTTGATATCTCATATCTTATCCCCAAACACTATGCCTCAAGGCCCAAAACTGTTTTGATAGCCTCGTTAAGTAAACCAATCTTGACCTATGGATAACCATTATCCATCCTATTTTACTCAAATAATTAAAGACACCCTGCTTTGGCAGATCCATCTTTTGACGATTCAAGTCTTAATAGGTGTTTGATTGGAAAGACATCATATTATTACTTAATTTTTATTAGGGACTATTAATGTTTATTTAGTGATAAATGTATGCATGTTATGAATAAAAACGAAGCATCACTTATCATAACAAAGGTACATCAATTATATGGGAACGAACAATTCCATGCAAGGGTCAAGGGGGCTGCGCCGCCTTGCGGGGTCGAGGGGCAGCATCCCTCGCGGGGTCGAGGGGCAGAGCCCTTTGCGGTGGTCTCGCTAATCAATCAGCGAGCGAGGTTCGAAGGGGCAGCGCTCCTCGCAGGGGCTCGGGGGCAGCGCCCCCGAAACCTAGACAGAATTCTCAATTCTATTTTCTCAGGATTCTATTCGTCCCCTTAAATCATCCCTGCTAGGGCGGGCAGTTTCAACTAAACCGCCTCTAAGGCTGTCCTGCTTTGTTCCTTCGCAATACCCTAAACGGAATTCGTAATTCTGTTTGTTTTTTAACAAAACGCCTTTGGATCAATGACATTAATCCACATTTGCAGGAATTCAAATTCGTTTCAATGTGAAATTACTCGAATTGATCATATCAATTCATATTCCCAATTCATCTAACTCTAATTCAGAATCAATTCAGGCATACATCATATGTATCAATAATTAGGGTTTCCTATTCAACTTCAATATATCGCAAGTGGCTCCGATACCACTGTAGGGTTCCTCAAGTGCTAAAAACGCAGTGGAATTTATAAATCGAAACCCTAGACAGGATCCATGCGTATATTGAAATCTAAACAGAAGTTCGACACGTACCTTTTGCAGATCGAAGGTAAATTGACAATTGATTGTGTCTGGATTAGCGCTCCAAGTGTTGCGCCTCTACCGGTATCCACACACACGAACGGAAGTCTTCAACGATCCTAGTGCTAGCTAAAGATCTTGGACTTCTTTTTCCTGATCGCCTTTGATCTTCGAGACTCTCTCAAAGATCTCTGAACAGAAAACGATTCTCTTCGTATTCTCTTGGAGGCGTTTTTTTTTTTATTTTTCTCTTAGGGTTTTTCGTCACCCACACGCTATATATATATATATATATATATATATATATATATATATATAGCCTCATTATCTACGCGAATTAAAAGAAGTAGGGCCAGGCGATTTGGGCCCGCCAAACTGTCCACCTTCAATCGTACGTTTAATCGTTTATCTCATAACGTGCACGATCGCGTAGATAAGTTGAATAGGAGAATAAATTAAAATCTACTTCTTATTTTAAGTATATCCCGGCGCACAGAAAATATTAACTCAGTTCGCTATTATGTGCGACCCTATAGGTTCACTAAACATTAGCAGTGTGCTCAAAACCCCTTTTGACTCACAAGTCATAAGCGGTCTCTAGCAAGACATTATGACTACCTAAGTATAGTGAAGGTCGGTTTTCTGACACAACCTAATCTACAACTAATATTAGAGTATCAACCTTGATTGATTCCTAAGGCAGACCACTAACAATACTTCCTTTGCAAGATCAGCAGAATTGAGAACAACCGCGGTTGAAGCACCGGTTCTAATGGAATGGATGGGGCCATAAATCTCAGCCCACTTCTTGAACGCCTTGAGAGGCTTCTTTTCCTTCAGTTGAAGCAAATTGCCCACTATCGGCAGCCCTCGAACCTCTGTAGAAACAAAGTTTTTGCATTTATCAAATGAACTCTCCGGTACTTTTAGCTTCATTGTCCTTTGTTTATTAAACCAGCATTACATAATTAGTAGTGACAATTCGTGTCATTAAGTACCATCCAACGAGCACACCCCAAGAAACTTGGCAGAGAATAGCAGTACAGTGATCTGTACAACTCATCAATTGGCTCACAAAGTGTTTGAACTTTTTTATAGCCAGACTTTTTCCCCAAATTCTTATCATATGCTAGTTCAAGATACAACTATTACTATGTTAAGTTTAAGATTGAAAAGCAAAAAAAGAGAGTGGCATCTCATACATCAATTGGACGAAAAAGTCAAACGAATTAGATTGCTTGAATTACCTGGTCATTATTTACCATGTGAAAGAAAGCAAATGTACTGCAATGAGAAAACTGCAGGAGAAGCATACATACTGGGCAGTGATGCGAGTTCAGAGCTGCCCTTATTTTTCCGGGTGTATTTGGATCCTTTCAAGAAAAAGAAGAGCAAGACCAAGGAGACACCACCAAGAACGGTGGTAGCGGCAAGAGGCATGGACATTTCTTGCAAATTCCCTAGCATGCTCATGGAGTCCTTGGATTTTGCAGAAATGCAGAGACAAAAAGAAGTACCGGGAACCCACCCATCGGTAGCCGCGTTGGTTTGCACTCAGTTCCTTTCACGAGAGGTCCTGGGTTCAAAACTCGCCCATCGGTGATTTAAGTGGGGGGTTGTGGCGGTGAGATGCTGCGCTAGCCCCTCTCGAGGACTAGTCGGGCATCACCACTGGTTTGAGCCCTAGCTCGCCGGCCGCGCGAACACCTCGATTATCAAAAAAAAAAAAAAAGAAGTACCGAGCTCCCAAGTTGTCCAGATCATATAGACAGTGCTCTGGCTTCAAAACAAATTACTCCATTTGCTGTTTTCGGTTACTAAACAGTAGATTCCTAGATGAGGAAGAGATTGGAAAACTATATTCTATTGGAAGAATATCCCATGTTTGCTACATTCATACTTGGAGCTGTGGTGCTAGATTATCGCAGGTAATGTGTCGTTTGACAGATGGCGACTCTTTTTTAGCATCACTAGAGTTACAATTGGGGTATCTCTATTAATGCTTTCAACATGAGAAAGCATCTTATATGGTTCAGTCAACGGTCGGTGAAATGGGACCGATAGTCCCAGGTTACGAACGGTAAGGGAAAAATAGCAAATAAAGGCACGAAGTATCTTTATTTTTTCAAAAGAGGGCCCAATGTGCACATTATCTCAAAGAAGAGCTTGAAGTAGCCAAATCAATCTTAAATAGGGCTCTGAACTCATCGACTGGCCAAATTTTTTGCCGGCCGGCGAGTGCTTAATTTTTTTGGCAGCTAGAAGAGGGCATTTTTGTCCAAAACAAAATCTGGATAAAAGATTAAAACAAGTAAAACTAAAAAAGCAGAAAAAAAGTGGCCAGGGTGTGCACACCACCATTCCGAATTTGCCGGTGAATGCTGTCAACCCCCGCTTGCCGACACCGGCGCCGCATTGCTACTGGTGGCGGTGGAGGTTGTTGTGGTCGTTCTTTGTTGGAACCATCACATTGTTTGTTTTTCCTCTAGGACAAGAACAATGTTGGATCTCGTTCCCCGCCCTACACCAACTTTGCATTCGTCCATCACCATCTCTCGCCGGCAAAGTCGAACAGTGGTGGTGCACGCTTCTTTTTTCTTTTTTCTTTTTTGGGCTTTTTTACTTATTCCTTTTTCTTTTTAGTCTTTATCTAGAATTTGTTTGGACAAAAAATGCCCAGTTCCGGCCGCCAGAAAAATTGAATGCTCGCCACCGGCAAGCTCAGGCCCTTATTTGATATTGATTTGGTCATTTCAGATTTTGAGACAAGATCCATTTTATGCTTTCTTTTGACAAAATAAAAGTACTTCAACTCATTATTTGAAATTTTCCCGAAAGGCAAGACAATAAATTATAACTAAAGATTTCCAGCATAATTTCTTTTTGAAACTTCTTGAAAAATTTTGGACCCTAAGAGGGTTGGGCCACTACCAATGCCATGGTCTAAAGTGTAAGAGTTGGGCTTAAAATAAATAAAAGAGAGAAAAAGCCCAAAGCCCAAAGCCCAAAGCCCAAAGCCCAAAGACCCAACTCAGCTCTCAGCTCATCTTCTTTCTTCTCTTCTCTAGATAAATCACGTGAGGGCAAGCGGCGGATTAAACAAGGAAAATGCACGAAAGGAAGGGCTCGACCGTGAGGAAGAGAAAAGAGGAAAATTTTAGTGCATAGCCGATCCGGACTCCAAGACAAGTCGAATCAACTATGAATTGCAACGTTGAGTAAGTTGTCAAGCCTATTATTCTTTTAATCGGAGTGATTTTCGAAGTTAGGTCGTAAATCCAAAGTTATGTCAAGTTTGGACTGTGAGGATCGATTGAGGAGTTGACGAGATGTGGATATATATGGAAATAGTAGATAAGATCGTTGTGGAGCTGTGGGATTTGATGGAAATCGATTCCGAATTATGGTTTGATAAAAAAGAAATTGTGAAGTTTTACGTTCGAGTTATGCGTAACGGAAAAAGATAAACGATTGTTATAAACGGGTTTTTCATTAACGCGTAGGTGTCCTTTTATCGACGGATAATCGTAATCTAGTTAAGTCATTCCTTAGAGTAGTGTTTTATTTGTTTTTTGATATTGTCTCTCCTTAAATTGATAGGATTACAAGATTATCGGCTTGAATGGCGGCGTTGTTTGGTTTTGGGTATTGCCAGGTGAGTGGTGCTATTTCTTCTATGAATTTACAAATTCACATTTTCAATGGTAAAGTCTTAATATAGTATGAATTATTAAGAGCATGTTTTTTTCATAAATTGGATTGAACTTTTGCTACCTTTTAGTCGATTAAAAAGGCATTCAAAAGTCATATGAAGTAGTTTGAAATGACCATTTATGAATGCTTTGATTAAATGTTTTGTGAAGAGAATTGCCAAATGTTTTACAAAATGCATTTTAATTGATATCGTCTTTGATATCGTCTCCCGTTAAACTAAAAGTCTTAATATTGTTGCGAAATGTTTTATAAAATAGTTAATATCACGAAAAACCCCAAACTGGTACACCTGTGATAAATTTACCCTAAACAATTTTTTTGATCACAAAAAATCCCAAACTGGTATACTTGTGACAATTTTACCTCGAATTATTTTTTTGACTACTAAAAATCCCACACTGGTACATCTGTGATAATTTTACCCTGAACTAATTTTTTGACCACTAAAATTCCGAGCTGGTGCACTTGTGATAAATTTACCCTCCGTTAGTTTCTATTAAATTTTACTATCAAATTGCTAAGTTTGATGACACGTGGTAGTTGATGGGTATACTAGTTTGGGGTTTTACCCCTCTGTTTGTCACAAGTTTACCAATTTGTGGTTTTTCGTCATATTAATCCAATTTAATGAACACTAATAGAGGGTAAATTTGTCACAAATATATCAATTTGAGGTTTTTAGTGGTTAAAAAATTAATTTAGGGTAAAATTGTCGTAGTTGAACTAGTTTGGGGGTTTTTGGTGATCAAAAAATTAGTTAGGGGTAAAATTATCACAAGTGTATCAATGTGAGGTTTTTGGTGGTTAAAAAAATAGTTTTGGGTAAATTTGTCATATGTGTACCAGTTTGAGGTTTTTTGTGGTCAAAAAATTAGTTCGGGATAAAATTGTCACAGGTGTACCAGTTTAGGGTTTTTCATGGTATTAACCCTTTATAAAATGCATTTTAATTGATATATAGAATTGTGAAAGGTTATATGATTCCGTTTGTAAACTCAGTTTTTTAAGTGGCTTTTTGGTTTTGATCGTAGGTTCTTGGAGAAAGATATTAACCGATATTGCTCATATATTGCTATGATAAGAACCTATTAAGGGGGGGGGGGGGGGGGGGAGGGAGGAGGAGGAGGAGGAGGAGTATGCATACTGTTTCCAAACGTCTTTCTGAGCCAAACCACCGGCTGGTATAGGCGGTAGACCTAGTCGATCAAGAGGGGTAAACTTGGTTGCCTTTGTCACGACGTTAAAAGTGATCATAATTAGATGTTGAGCATTAGATTAGTCGATGGAATAAACCATCGATGTGTGATTGATAATATTAATCAATAGTATAGACCATTGATGGTTGTTTGTTATTATTGAGTAAGTTTTGTTGCCTATTCTCGTGCTTATAAAGTTTTGTTGAAAAGTTAGTATACATTTTTTATATTTTACGTACATAGTATATTGAATTTGAGATGAGGAGTTATGATATTGTTTTATAAGGATGCATAGTGAATGTTTGATCCGCTTAGAAGAAGTGTATTACTCATTGGGCCGTGGTAGCTCATGCCATTCTTCTTATTATGTTTTTTAGGTCCCTCAGTTAGCATCAAGTAGGACGAGAGTGTATCGTGATCAGGAGGGCTTTTGATAGTGGGGATTTTTTGTATAAGTTATATATGGATGAGCTTATGAGTTAGATTTTATATAGATATACATACATATATATATACATATATATATATATATATATACATATATATATATACATATATATATATATACATATATATATATATATATATATATATATCTTCTTGATAGTTTATAGAAAATTCTGACATGGTTATGTTGGAGGTTGAACTACAAAAAAACATGTAATTTGCGACGGAAATTTTACGTCGGAAATTTGCGACGAAATTTGCGACGGATTATATTTTCCGTCGCAAATTTGCGACAGAATTTGCGACGGATGAAAAATCTGTCGGAAATTTGCGACGGAAATAAAAAACCGTCGCTAATTCCGTCGCAAATTTGCGACGGAAAAAAGTTCGTCGCAAATTTCCGACTGAAAAAAAAAACCGTCGCCAAATCCGTCACAAATTTGCGACGAAAACGAACGCCCGTCACAAATTTGTGGTTTATCAGCCCGTGATATTCCAACCCTATCTCTCTCTCTCGCTCTCTCTTGCTTTTCTCCCTCTTTCATATGTCCGAAATCAGCAAAATCCGCGCACGCACATATTAATCTCGGTGAAGCTTTTGTACCGGTAAGTATCATAGCTAGCTTCGTGACTATTCATCGTTGAATTGTAATTTCTTTTATTTTATATATGTTTATGTTTGTTTTTTTTTCGTATCTGCATCACGGTTTAACGACCGGCGACCGGCGACCGGCGACACCTCGCCGGCCTTTGGATGAGGCCGAACGGCCACGCCGTTTTGCGACGGAAATAGTTTCCGTCGCAAATTTGCGACGAATAAATGAAAATTCCGTCGCAAATTTGCGACGGAATTAACTTTCCGTCGCAAATTTGCGACGGAATCAAGGATCCGTCGCAAATTTGCGAGGGATGAATTCCGTTTCCATCGCACATTAAAAATTATTAAAAAATGATTCTTAAGTGATTATTCTTTTTGGGTATGTGTCTAATTAAAGGTCTCGCAATCCAAGTGGACGTTGCAATTCTCACCAAATTGACCACTTTTTCCTATCAATATTTCAGTCAAATATTTGGGTAAGTCTTCTTTACATGGTAATTTTTTCTATTTTTGCAATT